GCACTTTGTCCATGGCGTCCTGAACGGTAAAGAGCGCCATGGGCGTGCCGGATCCTGCCGCTCGATCTGGTGCGAGGGGGGAGGGGTGAGGCAAGGAGAAGGTAGGGGGTGGGAACGTCAGCGGTTGGGGAGGTCGTGGGCGGCGCGGCGGCGGCGGGTAGACAAGGGAGAGGGAGAGGAATCGAGGGATGGTGACTGAGGGCCGCTGGCCAATCCTTTTCTCTGTAATTTTCTGTTTATTCTCGACGAAGCGAACCCTTTGTCTCGTAGCTAATCTGACGTGGCTAACGCGAGAGTTTGCCCTTTGCGCCACCCTTATTAGGTTGTATATGTGTGTGGGTGCGGAGAGAGACAACCAAGGGTGTGTTTGGACGAGGAACCAAATGAAATGGAATGGAATTTCATGGTGGAACAGATTGGTTTCATTCCTATGCTTGGTTGAAGCTACAAAATGGAATGGTTTCCGTTCTTGTGTTTGATTGGAAAAATGGGATGTGACAAATTTGTTTCAGCTCACCTCTTGCATCGAGATGGTGAGATTGCTTCCCATATGTAGATGTTGTACAATCAAAATTATTATAGCCTACGCAATTTCAGCAATATACTATTTGATCCAAATTTTTGGTAATATACTCGAATTTTTTATAGCAATTTATTTGTATTTCTAGCGCAATCAATAAGTAATTTACACTTGCAAGCATAACGAATATATACATCAATTCACTGCTCAATTTGATAGTGTAAATACATGCAGGATCAGTGCTGAAGGTAGAGATTTTAATATTAGATATAGAGAAAGAGATAGATAGATAGATAGATAGATAGATAGATAGATAGATAGATAGATAGGACGTAGGTAGATTGACAGACAGATCAAAAGCTTAATAATAAACAATAACACTTTCCATGTAACACATGTTCCCGCAAGTACATTTGCTACACAGTTTCGCCATTGCTTAACGCTTTATAATGTCAGTTATTGCACTCTTCCTCTCATTCTAGTATATGCCTGTATACATATTACAACAAAACTGAGCTACCTTCCTGCTGGCTTCAATTTGGTTTCTCTATATGCATGTATGAGTAAGACTAGGGAATACAGACCAGACCAGTCCAGAAAAAATGATGATCAAGTCTGTAACCCGATGTTAGTCCCGTAACGTCCCTTGGAATCAGAAACAAAAATCCGATAGGGGATGTTCAAAGCTGACGCCAATGCAGCTCCAAGGAATGAACCTAATGTCGAATTGAGGTTGTTTATGGACATGAACAGAGCAAACAGTGTGCCCTCGATTCCAGGCGGGCAAAGCTGTCCTGAGAGGATTAGGAACGGCATCATCCTACCAAATGTAAATAATAAAGTTAGAAACACTATTGTGTAGATGTGTACATAAGATGTCTGATCTTCAGCCATGAGTGCAATAATGGATTCATACTGGATAGATTGAACAATTTCTTCATTTTTTCAGTTGCTCTTTTGCAATTTTGATTAAGAGAGCAGTATGAACCTACTAGCCAATGTCAATTATCATACTGGGTAAAAGTGAAGAATTCCCTCCATTGCGAAAAAGAACATACAGTGATCTAAAGCAATTAATGACAGACAGGTCACACTGAACCATGAGCTCAAGAAGCATTCATGAGCGCCACTTGATTGACACTCGCCCAAATAAAGGGAAATAAAATAAAATAAAATCAGAGTATGCCTGGAGTATCAGTCTAGAACTCTAGATTTAGTTGAAATAAAGAAGTTTAAGTTGGTGCCTAATGAGTTACCAAAACACTAAAATCTTCTAAATACAAGATTAGTCAATGAAGGATCAGTAACTCTGGGCAGCAACTTAGCATGTATAACAGAAACGCATCTCAACTGGTTCTCTAAACTACAGGTCAAGCAGATCGCTCAGTTTAGCTTGTAAAATGATCTTATATTATGGGACGGAGGGAGTAGTTCACAGGAGTATGAAAGAAATGACAGCTAGAGGATATACTTGAATTGGTTGATTGCATCGGCTAAAGCAGAGCCCCACAGCACCATGTATTTGTCTGCTATTCCATACTGAATGTGTAATCTTGACACCAGTAAAATGTCCAGTACAGTAATTATCGCTAGGCCAACATGTGCAAACCTGTAAAATAAGGACAGCAATTATTAAAGGTGGCACATGTAAGTACCTAATAACTTTAAAAAAGTGAATAGATTTGCATTGTAGCAAATTACGCCCCAAGAATTATGTCAATTTTTTAACAACATTAATAAAAGAGCATACACTCACTAAAACACTGACCAAAAGGTGATCAATAAATGGCTTATACCAAAAATACCAAGATGAAAATTTAGTGCAACTCATTCGAATCATGGACAGCCAACTTACACAAAAGTTTATAGAAAGTTTCAGCTAGTACATTAAGCATATATACATAATATTTCAACTTCCTTTAAACAAGCTATGGCACTAATATAGATAGTGTTTTGACATTTGCAGAAGATAAACAGCTTGAAAAAATGACTTACATAAGAATATTCCTGAGTTTTTTATGCTTTAAGTAGCGGTTGTAGATATATGTGCCAAGCATTAGATTGAACCACCCAATCACACGTGCAGTCCCTAGGAAGGATGCCTCTCCAGATGTAGAACCTCCGTTTGATAATAGAACATTACTGTTGAGATATTTGGAACTGCTGCATTTGAAATGAAAAACCATGCCTTAGGTCTAGAGAAAAGAAAACAGGAAGTTACCGGTTAGGCTCTTCAGTGCAAGAGGCAAACATCAAAGAAAATGAAATTGCAGGGTTAATTACCGCAACATTGCTGGCTGCTTAAAAGCAGTGCATAAACTGACTCAGGCTGATTTCAGAGATGAGTATAAATTAACTGATTTATTGTGCTTCTCATGAGCTTCAGATCGTTTGGATAATGATCTCCTTTTGCTCTTTTTACGAGCACCCTTTCGCTTCCTAGTGCCCTCATATTTAAAAGATTCACCTGAGCCTTGTCCAGCAAAAGCACTATCAATATTCTGACCATCAGCATGATCATGTGCGGCGTTATCTGTCGTACTTTCAAATCCTTTTGGAGATTCCTTAATGAAAACACATGTAACTAGTTGGAACAGTGGAAGAGCAGAGAAAATAATATCAATGGCATTTATTGGGAGATTGGACAATGCGTATCCTCCCAATAAGCTCCCAAATATCCCCCCTGCAGCCATTGATGACTGGAGATCACCAGCAAATTTTGGCCTGAAAATAGAATAATTCAGGTTTCAAAGCATTGTATTGGAGTACTTGCTATACAAGGTGAGACAAGATGCACCAAATTACTCACCCTGCTGATCGAACTGCCTCTGCAATCATTGCATCTATAACAACATCTGCCATGGCAGATCCCAAGTTCTGTACAATCAACATTAGCGTAAAAAGATTGCTTGAGCTCCTCAAATGTTCTGACATCCCAATGATAAGCTATGGAAATAGAGAAAGACCACTAGAAATGATCAAATAGGGCACACGCTTCCTCTGCTTAATTGGAATACAGTCCGACACAATCCTGCAAGTACAATTGATATATGGGTAAGTAAATAAAACCATGATTTTTTTTATTGGGCGTTCAACATGTCCAGTAATGCATGTACCAAGCCATATATGGATGTTTTACAGCTGTTAGCAACACGTTGTGAACCTTTATCCACAACAGGATAACTAACGTACTGAACATAGCCAGATGGCAATGCTGCAAGATATTGGTAGACATAGGTTGGATGAGAGATTATTTCAGAGAGAAAAGATTGGTTGTTTCTTCCTGAAACATAGATACATGACATCTCTATATAGTGGATGCTTAGATCTTTGACTTTTCCTAGCACGATACAAACTCCTCATGGTTGGACTCCTTTAATCCTAGACTTGCTGTCCTTCCTCCCGTTTCCTTGGTGCTGCAAATCCTTGTCTGACACATGACCGTCTTCTGCTACAGGCCTACGATGCACCTATGTCCTTGGCCTCCTTGCCAGCCAGCTGGCTGCAACCGAACTGCCACTGGCTTGATGCAACATACTAATGCATACAACAACACCACTGCCAAAAAGCAGCGCAACTCTGTGGACAGGAGAGTACTAGGACAACCATAGATCATGGACACTAGCTAGAATACCGATTATGAGTTTGATATTACACGGGCATAAGTACTAGAACCGCTGAATGCCTTAATTTGCAGCAACAAAGCTATTGAACCAACAGATGTGGGAAATAATTTCAGTGATGTGTTCCTTTTTGCATTTCCATGTTACTGTCATGTGCCCATGTCTACAAATGAACTGTTCTTGTTAATCAATTTTCTATTAAGATAACTTGCTTACAAACTATGTTCATATTGTTAGTGATAGGTTCTATTCACGGTAAACTGTAATTAGTCAGAATTTGAAAGAAAAAAAAGTTCAGCTCTGGTGGAATAATTATGTATCTATAGTAGCTCCTTAAAAATTCAGTAATAAACTTGTGTTGTCATGGACGCCAATATCAAACAATACCTAAGCTTATGCCTGAAAAAAGCGTAATTCTGAAAACTGAGATGTAAGACTCATGACATTTGGAAACAAAGAAGTTAGTTAAAATGATCCTACGGACACGCATATGAGCGGCAGATCTATCTAAATCGACGGTGCATGTGCGGAGAAATGGGTGCGATTACGAGGAGTGTCAAGGTGCCGGAGAGAGGAAGAGATCAGGAGAAGGGACATAACTAAAAAGAATTTCTATTGATAATATAATACTCCATCCGTAAAGAAATATAAGAGTGTTTAGATCACTAATAGTGATCTAAACACTTATATTTGTTTACAGAGGGGGTACTAATTCAGACACCAATTACATTCGATTCCAGAGACCAATTCACACCTAGACTGGCTAGAATCAGCCGAGCTAAGCTCTGATTCTGATGGCTAGCACGATTTACACTAACAGCTGAGCTACACTGAATCTGGTACCATGGGTGGTTCATTCAGTTGGCCCATACGAAGTAGGGGCAGACGGGTCCCATGGCCGGCGTCCAGTTGCCACACCCGAAGAAGCACTTCCCCTGCATCGGCCCTGGCATGGACACCACGCCTCCTCTGGTCGGTACCCTGCAGTAGCAGAAGCACGTCCCAGGCGAGCCACCGCAGGGGATTATCATGTGAGGCTGCGGCGGCTGCTGCTGCTGCTGGATCAGCAGCGGCGCCAGCGGCGATGAGCCTCCGCAAGGGCTTGTGCGAAGCTGCGGCGACTGCTGCTTCTGCTGGATCGGCGGCGGCGGCGCCAACGCAGATGAGGCACCGCAAGGGCTTGTGAGAAGCTGCTGCGGCTGCTGCTGGATCGGCGGCGATGGCGCCAGCGAGCCGGTGATGGTCATCTTGACCCCACGCAGCATGAGCTCAACAAGAAGCCGCGCCGTGTTGCGGGCGTCGTCCAACCCACAGTGCAGGCGGCCCTCCCAGTCCAGTCCCGCCGCCCGGACCGCCTCCTGAAGGGTGACCCGCCCTCCGCCGCCGAGCGCCGCCTGGAAGGGGACCCTCAGGTTGATCCAGCGATCGAAGTAGGACGGCTTCTCGATCCCCTTGAAGCGGCACTCTGACTCGAGTATGGTGCGGCAATCCCAATCTCCCCAGGTCACGATGGCCAAGCTCCCTGCCCCCGCCGTCGCCGCCTTCAGCCAGGAGTCGTGCATCCAGAGCGCCTCGCCGAGTTCCACGCCGCCGTCCACGTCCTCCTGCCGGATGCCGGTGAGTTCCCTGCAAAATTGAGTCAGCACAGGGTGATGTTTGGACGAACGTACCTGCGAAACGCCGACTCGATGCGGCCGGTGGCGCCGTCGACGAGCACGGCGGGGAACTCAATGATTTCCTGCGGAAAGATCCGCGCGTCTTTCACGCACGTCGCCTCGAAGTCGACCACCACGAAGAAGTCGAAATCTTGCACCTGCCCCTGCCCGCGCGCCGCCATGATCGCTGCCATGTTCGACGAGGTGCGCGAAAACTCCGAGAATCGAGATCGGGAAAACTAGGGATCGGAAACTAGGGCGGGGAAGATCGGGGGAAGAGGGAATCGAGAACTAGGGCAGCGAAGGTCGGGGAAAGTTGGGATCGAGATCTGATTTGTTTTCTCCTCACGCTTGGGGCAGGCACAGTTGGCGCTCTTTTTTTTTCATTACGTGGTTGGCGCTATTTCTAATCTAATCAACAAATCAAAGGCTGTGGTTAGCGGGAAAAAAGACTAATGGCTGTGATTAGCGGGAACAACCAATGGCTGTGCTAGAAGACTGGTTTGAGTCTTTTTTTTCTTTTTGCTTTTTTTGCCGGGAAACACTGAGAGCTTTATTGAATAAAAGCGTTCGCCGAGCAATCCGCTAACAGGCTACTGGTCAGGAAGCTAAGAACATTGTTAATCCAGTTTTCGATTACGTTAATCGTGCAAGCATGCTTAGCATAGATATGAGCGGGGACCGTTGGCTGATCTTACAACATGATGAACATAAAAAGAATTTAAACTACCATCAAGCTCTCCAATTTCTACTAAGATAGGAGCCACGACCGATCAAGAATCGTGGCGAGTGTTCCAGAGGTTGACTACCTCCAGACAGTCCGTCTCCAACACGATGTTTGAAAAAACCCTCAAGTTGGCGAAGATAACACATTCTCGCACTTCCATCGCCTCCACTATGAGAGGATCCGTAACTCCAGGGAATGGTTTACTCCATGACCCAAGAAAGAAATCAGGGGAGCGTGCAACACCCCCGCCTCCTCCTTTACCATCTTCACATTTGATTGCAACATTCGTATTAATCTTGACGAAGCCTGGTTCCGGGGGTCGCCACCCATGTCCCGGCATTACTAGGGCATGTCGTCCGGGTATATCCAAGAGAGCTAGTGTCTCCCTGGTGCGGCGGATAGATGTCACCGGATCAAGCTTGTCTTCCCCGTGCGTCAGCCTGTTCCTAGAATGCCAAATTGACCACAAGACTGAGACTAATATAGCTCGGTCTCTGGAAGTGAATTGTTCACCACAAATAATATCCTTGGCCCATGTGATTGGATGCAGTATTGGCATATGAAAATCGAAAAGTTGTTGCGCCTCCTCCCAGAAGCTTACTGCATGTATGCACTTCAGTGGTGCATGCTCCAGGTCCTCCTCACTTGCCAAATAAATCTTGCATAGGTTCTGCTACCCTATGTGCCGATGCACCAGTCTGCATTCATCAGGTAAAATACCCCTTAAAACTCGCCAAAAGAAAACTCTCACCTTGGGTAACACATTGAGCTTGCAAAGCGAATTCCACAGCCGTTGGTTATCAAATAGGGAACCGGTAGCCTGCCCTTCCTTTGGAGCTTGAAGCTCGTTGCGAGTCACTAGAGCTCGGTACGCTGACTTGACGATGTAGTTGCCTGAAGCCTCGTGTGCCCATGCGAGAAAATCATCACCACCTCCTGATCGCAGTGGTATGTTCAATATAGCTTGCGCATCTGAGGGTATGAACGTGTCTCGAATTAGTTCCTTCCTCCATGACCAAGTGCATGTATCAATCAGGTCGCTCACAAGTGAAGCAGTGATGTTCATAGGTCTAACTTGGGGAACCATTGTAGGCGTTGATGGGATCCACTTATCATTCCATATCGATATGTTGGATCCATCTCCTACCCGCTTGATAAGCCCAGTAGTTAACGCTTCCCGTCCAGCCATGATAGCTCTCCAAGTTGCTGAGGATGAGCTTGGACTTATTGAAGGAAATATGCCCTAGAGGCACTAATAAAGTTGTTATTTATATTTCCTTATATCATGATAAATGTTTATTATTCATGCTAGAATTGTATTAACCGGAAACTTAGTACATGTGTGTGTCCACATACGATCACGCATAGCAACGAGACAGGGAGAGTGTGTCCATGTACCCTCGTAGACCGAAAGCGGAAGTGTTAGGTTAACGCGGTTGATGTAGTCGAACGTCTTTGCGATCCAACCGATCCAAGCACCGAACGTACGGCACCTCTGCGTTCAACACACGTTCAGCTCGATGACGCCTCGAACTCTTGATCCAGTTGAGGCCGAGGGAGAGTTCCGTCAGCACGACGGCATGGCGACGGTGATGATGAAGTTACCTACATAGGGCTTCGCCTAAGCACTACGACGATCTGACCTAGGTGTGTAACTGTCGAGGGGGCACCGCACACGGCTAAGAGAAGACTTGGTGTGCCTTTGGGGTGCCCCCTGCCCACGTATATAAAGGAGGGAGGGAGAGAGGCCGGCCCTCCTAGGGGCACGCCAAGTGTAGGGAGTCCTACTCCCAAGTCCAATAGGATTCCCTTTCCTTTTCGGAGTAGGAAAGAAGGAAAGGAGGGAGAGGGAGAAGGAAAGGGTGGGCCGCGCGCCCCACCCCTTGTCCAATTCAGTTTGGGCAGGGGGAGGCACGCGCCACCTCGTGGCCCTTCTTCCCTCTCTCCACTAAAGCCCAATCAGGCCCATTAACTTCCCCCGACGAATTCCCGTGACTCTCCGGTACTCCAAAAAATACTCAAATCACTCGGAACCATTCCGATGTCCGAATATAGCCTTCCAATATATCGATCTTTACCTCTTGACCATTTCAAGACTCCTCGTCATGTCCATGATCTCATCCGAGATTCTGAACAAACTTCGGTCATCAAATCACATAACTCATAATACAAATCATCATCGAACGTTAAGCGCGCGGACCCTACGGGTTCGAGAACTATGTAGACATGACCGAGACACATCTCCGGTCAATAACCAATAGCGAAACCTGGATGCTCATATTGGCTCCTGCATATTCTACGAATATCTTTATCGGTCAAACCGCATAACAACATACTTCATTCCCTTTGTCATCGGTATGTTACTTGCCCGAGATTCGATCGTCAGTATCATCATACCTAGTTCAATCTCGTTACAGGCAAGCCTCTTTACTCGATCTATAATGCAACATCCCGCAGCTAACTCATTAGTCACATAGCTTGCAAGGCTTATAGTGATGTGCATTACCGAGAGGGCCCAGAGATACCTCTCTGATACACGGAGTGACAAATCCAAATATCGATCTATGCCAACTCAACAAACACCATCGGAGACACCTGTAGAGCATCTTTATAATCAGCCAGTTATGTTGTGACGTTTGATAGCACACAAAGTGTTCCTCCGGTATTCGGGAGTTGCATAATATCATAGTCAGAGGAATATGTATAAGTCATGAAGAAAGCAATAACTACAAAACTAAACGATCATTATGCTAAGCTAACGGATGGGTCTTGTCCATCACATCTGAAAGTGCAACTATCCCTAGGTGGTTTTGGTAATTCCTAACAACATATAGCTCATTGAGCTAATGCTATTTCAAGATTAATATTTCAGGAAAGCTCAATGATTGGCATGGCATGGATGAGAAAAGTGGACCCCTCAAAATGCTAAGGACAAAAGGATTGGCTCAAGCTCAAAGCTCAAGACTCTGCATTTTCTATTTTAGTGATCCAAGATCACATTGAGTCTATAGGAAAAGGCAATACTATCAAGGAGGGATGAGGTGTTGCTTAATGAGGCTCTTGCTCAAGATGCTTAGTGATATGCTCCAAAGCCCTCAACTACTTTCTCACATCCACATATGACCTAAACCAAAAGTCAAACTCGGCCCCACCGATTCTTTCTATCCGGCGCCACCGAGTTCAGATAGCATAGCCACTACCACAAACCCTAGGCAAATCGGTCTCACCGATAGGGATCTCAGTCTCACCGAGATGGGGTTGTAATCTCTCTGTTTCCCTTCGCAGCATTTCGGTCCCACCGAGATGAGTGATCGGTCCCACCGAGATTGCAATGTAAACTCTCTGTTTCCCTTTCATAACATTTCGGTCTCACCGAAATGAGCGAATCGGTCCCACCGAGTTTACCTGACCAACTCTCTGGTTAGCTTATTACCAAAATCAGTCTCACCAAGTTTGTGTAATCGATCTCACCAAGATTACGTTATGCCCTAACCCTAACCATATCGGTCCTACCGAGTTGCATGTCGGTCCCACCAAAAATCCTAACGGCCACTAGATTTTCTGAATCGGTCCGAACGATTTTATCAATTCGGTCCCACCGAGATTGGCAAGTTGTGTGTAACGGTTAGATTTTGTGTGGAGGCTATATATACCCCTCCACCTCCTCTTCATTCGTGAAGAGAGCCATCAGAACGAACCTACACTACCAACTTACCTTTTTTGAGAGAGAACTACCTACACTTGTGTTGAGGCTAAGATATTCCATTCTTACCATACGAATCTTGATCTCTAGCCTTCCCAAGTTGCTTTTCACTCAAATCTTCTTTCCACCAAATCCATATCCTGTGAGAGAGAGTTGAGTGTTGGGGAGACTATCATTTGAAGCACAAGAGCAAGGAGTTCATCATCAACACACCATTTGTTACTTCTTGGAGAGTGTTGTCTCCTAGATTGGCTAGGTGTCACTTGGGAGCCTTCGACAAGATTGTGGAGTTGAACCAAGGAGTTTGTAAGGGCAAGGAGATCGCCTACTTCGTGAAGATCTACCCTAGTGAGGCAAGTCCTTCGTGGGCGACGGCCATGGTGGGATAGACAAGGTTGCCTCTTCGTGGACCCTTCGTGGGTGGAGCCCTCCATGGACTCGCGCAGCCGTTACCCTTCGTGGGTTGAAGTCTCCATC